CACCACCCCCACCCCCCAGGTTCCCAACCGAATGAAACTCCGGGCCAGACCTAATAGGGAAGGCCAGACCAGCATTGGTGTCGGGATTAGTGAGCTGCGCGTCACTAATCCCGGTAGACACAGACAATCCCAATAGAAAGTCTGTAGTCACCCCAGGACCTGATCTGGAAACAGCAAGCCCGGCACCAAGACTATCCCCGACGACAGCACCACTTGGAGTGCCGGGATAACTGACGGAGTCAGTGACCGGCGGCGGATAGTCCCTACCCGAAGGCAAGCACGACAAGGCTATGCCAAGCCAGGGTCGGGCTGCCCCTCCCCTACTCCAGGGAGTTCCTGGACAGGAAGGGCTACCCCCTGCTCATGAGATGGACCCGCCAAAGCGGGACCCCCCAAAGCCAGGGACAGAGACAGTACCGCCAGACCACAGAGAGCCGGCGGCACCACCCCTACCTCTCTGCCTCCCTCGCTTCCTGAAAGAAACAGACGAATCTCTCACGGTAAGCTGAGGGTCGCTTGAAGGCCTTGTCCTGAGAGCCAGCCTGTGAACTTTGAAACCTCATTACAAGGGCGACACAGGGGACAAGCATCATGAGAGTCTCGTTCCCCAAAGAAATGGGAACACCAATGAGCTGACTCCTGTCGCTGTCCCGACCGAGACATAACCTCCAAAATGAAGGTTAACAAAGTTTACAAGTAAAGAAGTATAGAAAAAATAAACTAGAGCAGTACAAAGTATGCAAGGTAGAATGAAATTCACCTGAAATAAAATCAGAAACGGTGAAATAGACAACGTATGCTGAAACAAACAACCGTGACCGAAATAAACACTGGTCGGATATTTATACCCAACCAACAGTCAACACAGTAATGGCGGACTGTGTTGCACACCACCAGGACACAAGGAGTAAAAAATAGCCGAAAAAGGCAAAAAAAAAAAATTCAACAACAAATGATTGAAGATGGGTATATAGCACACAAACTGCGCAATAATTTGACAAGACACTCAAACTAATCTGACAAAACTAAGTTTTGATATGGAGCTAGCTGTGGGCCATCAGCAAGCAGCGGGCGCCATAAAAGGAAGAGGATGGGAGATCACTCCGTGGCTCTGTCGTCGAGATATTGACGGTAGGGAGGTCAGGATATTTGAATCATTTGTTTTTGGGATACAAAGATGGGTGTTGGTATTGTTTATGCATACTAAAGTTATGGTAATTATTACTGAAATGAAATTTCTTTTTAGGGTTACCGCCCTGGCCCCTGGGGTTGGGGTAGGTATTCCAATTTTACAATTTTGTAGCCTCATCTACCAAGGATGAATCTGACCAAGTTTGAAAAAATTCCATCTATTGGTTCTTATAAAGAAGTCGAAAATGTAAAAAGTTTACGCACGACGGATGGAAAGCGATCACCATATGTCACTTGAGCAAAGCTCAGGTGACCTAAAAAGTACTTTGCTATATTACACCTGACCAAACAAGAAACATGAAATTTATGTTACTGAGATATGCAGAATAAAACAGAAAATGTTAGACATATTGAGTAGGGTATGAGCTCCCCTATTAGATACACATGACTCTACTACCTTATTGAGTAGGATATGGGCTACCGTATTAGATACACATGTCGACCCTCCTACTTAAAATGATTAAGGTATGGGCTACCCTATTAGATACACAAATCTCCTACCTTATTGAGTAGAGTATGAGCTACCCTATTAGATACACATGACCCTCCTTCCTTATTGAGTAGGGTATGAGCTACCCTATTAGATACAAAAATCTCCTACCTTATTGAATAGGGTATGAGCTCCCCTATTAGATACACATGACCCTCCTACTTAAAATGATTAAGGTATGAGCTCCCCTATTAGATACACAAATCTCCTACCTTATTGAGTAGGGTATGAATTATCCTATTAGATACACATGACCCTCCTTCCTTATTGAGTAGGGTATGGGCTACCCTATTAAATACAAAAATCTCCTACCTTATTGAATAGGGTATGAGCTCCCCTATTAGATACACATGACCCTCCTACCTTATTGAGTAGGGTATGCAGGGCTATCTTAGTCTATACACATAACCCTCCTACCTTATTGAGTAGGGTATGGGCTACCCTTTTATAAACACATGACCTTCCTACCTTATTGATTAGGGTATGAGCTACCCTCTTAGGATACTCATGGTCTCCTATCACCACTCCAGCAAGTCCATCTGACCGCACATATATATGGCATATGTAAGCTGGCAAAATAAAATATACATACATTCAGTATATATGAGTGAACTCATTACAAATTGATACATTCTATATGATGGAAGCAAGAAGTAACCAAATCAACTCTTAAGGGGTGGGGGTGTCATACAGGTTTGGTTTGGTTTAATTTTGTTTAACGTCCCATTAACAGCTAAGGTCATTTAAGGACGTGCCTCCATGTGTGTAGTGTTTGCGTGATTGCGTGTGTGTATGCAAGAGACAGAGTATGTTGGTGTGCTTGCCTGAGTTGCCTCCTTGCGATAGCGCAGGTCTGATGCCGACTTTATAGTGCTTTCAAACTGAAATGCCATGCCGAAGGCACCCAGCACATCATCCCGCCCAGTCACATTATACTGACAACGGGTGAACCAGTTGTTGCCATTCCCCTTAATACTGAATGTTAAAGGATTTGTGCAACAGTGGTCAAAAATGTGTCAAAATAATCTTTAAACTCATTTAAATAACCTTTTTTTTACGGGAATGTAATTCAACATTCCGATAATGTATAATTGTTTCGTTTTGGGCTGATGTTGTAGCGCGGAGAACACCAAGCTGGAGTTAATGAGCTCGCTGGTCACGTGATTGCGTGACGTCATAATAGGACGAGGGTTTCCCCAAGCTATCCTTAGCCTCTCGCGTACTTGACCTTGGCTCACTTCGATATCTACTGAAAACCTCGTAAATTTATCAACAAACACCATGTCAGATACCGATAGCGATGTTCCTGAAGTTGGGGGTGAGCTTGATATTTTACCCTACCAATTTGAACCCGCGAGAAAACACGTAGATCGAGTTACAGAAGAAATGTATTCGTCACAATCAGAGACAGACGAGTCTGATGACGGGGACGACCATGCCAGGGCACGAGACATCCGCACAGACAACATCGCATGGTATGTCACCTCAAGAAATTGAGAAATAAAATATAACTACGAGTACATGTTTTGTTGAAGAAATCGCAAACTTCCGATTTATGTCGAAATGATTGCCAAAACAGCAAAAGTTTTTCTCTTGATTCCCATTCTCCCTGCCCCTCCCTAGGCCTAAACGCGGAAACGTTCAACATCTTTCATAAGCCGATTGAGGATTACCGATTTTAAATGTATTTTGTTTATAACAAAGAAAAGAAATAAATGTTCACAGGAAAATACTTCATATGTGCATACATAATCACATATTTATAACGTCTTTTCGCGGAATCAGATTCAAAGCTAGATAAAAGTAAATTTATGTGTATGTTTTGTTTTCATTTTTCGTACGTCATCACTGAAATACAATAGATTGCGAAATTATTTCTTTTATACTTGTATATATATTTAGGCTAAAATAACCCATTCCTGGAGGGTATTTTTTTTTTTAACTTGCAAAGGATTTTTTTTCAAATAATTAATTTACCTAAACGTTACTATTTGGTTGAATGTTTTGTTCCTATTATCACAAAAATATAATTCAATAAATAAAATCCTATAGGATTTTTTTTTCATCTCTTTATTTGCTGCATCTTGTAAATCTTTCAGCTGGGGAATCTTCAATGAATAAAAAGTCCCGAGTATATATGATAAAAAAAAATGCAGTCTTTCCTTTACAATTTTAAACCGGTGATATTTTTTAAAAATTCAATATTGTGCTGTTAATCAATGCAACAATTACTCTATTTTCACAAAATGATACCTGTTCTTTGTTACTATTTCTAAAGTAATAAGACACCAGTCCCTAACCCTACCAAGCTTTTACATTTTCACACCTTTGGCAAACTTCTTTCTGTAAGATTGTATGAATAATCCTCTTAATATCTTGGTACAGATCTTCACCTAAATACTTGGTTATAATGATTACACAACAACAAAACAGGATTTCAGGATTGTATTTTTTTCATAAATTTGCAAACTTGTGAGCTTATCTCCAATCTCTGTTGGAATGGATAAGCCTATATGCATTCCTTTACCCCAAAACAATAACTAAATCATGAGGACAACAAAAAGCTCAAAACTTGTTGATGCCACTAAAATTCAAATGATCAAATAATATGATGGATTATTGTGGCTAAGACCAAAACAAAATCTGTGTATTTCCTGTAACCAGACACAGGTCTTCCTCTAATTTATGTGGAAAATACTCAGAGGGCAATCAAAAATTGAAGCTTTACAACAGACAGATAGAATTGCAATTATAAATCAATATATATAGATAATAAAGGCCAAAGCAGAATATATCTGTTTCTTATTTACTTGAATTTTATGTGAACATCAGGTCAGGCATATTGCACAAATTATGTTGTCAGCATATGTAATATAAAATTCAAATTATATACAAATCATATATAGATCTAGTACTTTTAATTCCAGGTGTGATTGTGAATGCTGCACAGCCATGACAACAGAGACAGAATGCCTGTGTTGCCAGGAAATTGACTTGATCTGCACAAAGACTGAGGAAAAAGGAATCATGTGTATCACAAATCATGAGGGTTTCATTGCAAACTGCTTAAATAGAGATGTCTTGGAAGTCTCACTTTTAGAGTTTGTCGAGCATGATGGGCCTATTGATGACAATGAGCCAATTAATGAGTAAGTAGGGTCATACAAGTCAATTTAACACAAAAATATCAAACTCAAAGTTCTCATTCAGCAGCCAACTGCTAACTCTATTGTTATGTACATATATATATATCGTATGGCATTTACAAATTGTCTTCTCAATACCACAACTGCTGTCAAGTTATTGTCTTTTGTAACACATTGTCTTTTAGAACACATAAAATCAGTGTGTAATAGTTGTGCATTTTATCGTCCTCAGACTATACAGATACATCGCCTACAGGCGATTTACTCGGTGGATATGGCATCGCCTTGGGAAAAGGAATCGAAAGGTGATCCCTGCATGTGCTGTTGTCAAGATACGGGCAACATTTTCATCGGAGGAGTACTGTGGTTTTAAGTATGTCAGGCCATAGGTGAACATGTGGCATCAGAGATCCCTGGACTCACACCATTTCGGGCAATGAACCTTGACCTATGTCTTTCAATTAATTCACTCTTGTTGACATGCTGGTAGGAGTCTGTAAGAGGTGGAGGAATCTGTCCAAAACTTTCCCTTCCATCAACAATGGCAGTGGTGTAGTTTTGCAGATCCATTCGCCTGTCTATGCAAGCCTGGAGCAGGAGAGCCACATAGCCTAATAGCAAAAAACAAAACTTAATAACCTGATTGACATTTGAAAAGAACTGACTGTTTTGCCTATTGTTAAAAAGCTGTCGTAATTTCTAACATGAAAATGCTTGATATATTTCATTGTTTCTTATTTTTGCTTATGGTAATGTAACGATAAAAAAGCATTGATATTTTTTCAGATCTGTCCAATATTTTCTCCACTGATACAAATTGTACACCTCTGTTATTCTTGAGCAACTCTTAAAAAATAGCTAGAATTTCCCTTACAAAAGAGTTCTGCATCTGATAAATACTTCAGCTTTTACATCGAAAAATAACACTACCTGGGTACTCACCATATGTTGGTCGAGTCTTGCATGGTTTTACAACCACTTCTTTTCCTTTCTTGGCCTTGGGATAGGAAATTTGCCATTTCTGCTGCCCATCTTTTGTCACTGCTCTTCTATTTTTACTATTTTCATTATAGTGTAAGGCTGCAAGGTACAATCTGTAAAGCAAACAATAAAACCTGTTTTAGTGACACAAGAAATTGTGATATTTTCAATCATACAGTCAGTGAAACCTGTATAGTCTGACATCCTGTGGAACACAAAAATTTTTTTTATGAAATTGACCTTTCTTATCTGCCCACAAACTGTCAATTCCACCAACACATGTACATGAAACATGAAATATTGGTCAGAGTACCTGTCTAATCTGACAGGATGCAAGTAAGCACTGGTCCAATTATGTAGTTAAAATAGAAACAGGATACAGCATTGAATTTAAATGCATGTTGTTGTAAACAGGATGTCAGACTACTGAACATTTGTATTAGAAAAGTTTTATTTAACCTGTTCCCTTAATAGATATTTAAAGTACCATATATATTTATCGTTGTTGTTATCATTTTTCATACCACGTATGCTATAGCAATATAAACATTATGTCCTTTTTCTCCCAATAGCATGTATATAATTGCACAGTGTTCTCATTGCATTTTTGGACTGGTACAGATACTCCAAAAAAGAAATTACAAATTGACACTTATACTTCAAAACACTGACATTTTAAACAGCAAATAAATACCTTGCAAGCATTGATGGATAGAAGTAGTGATTGCTTTTGGAAGCAAAGTGATTCACAATATTGTGAAACACTTCCAAGCCATATGTTTGGTGATTGGGAGAGAGTTTGCCAATATCTCTCAACAAGTAGGGACTCTGAACCACCGACACCAACATCTTGTGAGGCCTTGACCCTACAACAAAAATCCAGACCTAACATGAAGATTTCTATTGATTATTACCGGGGTACTTATCTGTCTATATTTTGACTTGAGCAAGACTAAAGGCATTAGACTTGCTGAAGTCCACAAACAAGAAAAAAGACATTTAGACTGAAAGCAAGTCTCATGTGTAGGGATTTCAATACAAATATTGCATTTTCAAGTTTCGATAATGACAGTTACATATTCACTAAAAAAATAAAATCTTTTTAAAGACAACATGAAATTTAGCATTGATACTGATAGATAATTAGGGTGAATAACTGAATATACTTTGTTTAACCTAGATTATGAAGCTAATTTTGATCAAAATTTAAAGGTGAAAAAATGTGTTGAGTGTTAACCCAATATACCACTTTCTACTGAACTCCACTTCACATGATTTCATATATACACATTTCTATCACTTTGGATAATGCTGGTACACAAATATGTTTCACAGTTTTACATGTAATCAGGAATTGAATTGTTAACCTTCTTTCATCCATTCTCGTTCAGTGGGACCATGGGCACATCTTGGAAAAATGTTTGAATGGCCTTCATGTTTGTCAACTACGTGGTTCACCAAAGAATTCCATTTTGCCTTTTTCATTTCTGCATTATCACCTGATGTCATAGCTGTCCAGTACATGTGGTTTCCTGCAGACTTTATCCATGGTCGAATGGCTTCACAATCCCTTTTTTTGGCACAACCTTCCAGTTTCTTTGTTACACCTTTATAAAAATAAGCTCAAATTAATTCCTATAGAAAGATGTTATTATTTCCCTATAAACTATTTTACATTTTAACCCCCCCCCCGGTTTGTTTATATGAAAGTTTTTGCTTATTTCACCTATCTGGAGCCTAATTAGGGCCTGGGAACTATATATGCACCTGGTAATTCACAATTCTGGTTTGTCTTTAGCCATAGAAGCTTCAATTTCACATGTTGAACCGCTAATACAAGTACATGAGTATCAATTTGATCTGATCAGTGAATACGAAGTCTAACCAATTGCAAGAACTTGATATAATACAGAATTATAATATAAACAGATCTTACCTTTGGCCATGTGCCACACATCAAAGTAGTGCTTGGTGTTTGACTGTTCCTCCCTCATGTACTTTTTTACCATGACATGACGATCTGTTACAAGTGTGTCAACTTGGATGTCATCTTCGTTCAGTTGCTCGAGCCCTCTCTTCAGTCCCTCTAGTTCCATGTGCGTTGAACTTTTGACCTCGTTGCTCTATAATAATACATAAACATTAACATACATGTACGTGTGCACTTAAATAATAAAAAATAGTATATATGCATACTACCAATATAGTTACAGAACAAGTCTTCTAATAAACACAGATGTTTCAAGCTAGGCCAAACAAAGTAACACTAACAGTTCTGTTTCCTGTACCACTCAACACTAAAACAAGGGTACTGATCATGATATATATATAAATATAGGTATAGGTAGTTGCATAAATGTATATAGAAAGGAGAAAACATTTTTTTCCATGGATGGTCACTTTTTTGCATGCAATACAAACTTACCTGAACTAACTGGACATCCAGAACTTCATTGGTATTCAGGTCCATAAGGGAATAGGAGCCATATTTAGCTGAGAAGCCAGGAGAGTCGCATCGGCCATCACCGCCAAGTACCAAACTCTGACCTGCACGTTGCTCAAACATTTCCCGCTGATTGGCACTCCACACATGTATTGTCGATGGTACCAAGTATGCCGACTGAATATTCAAAAATGTCCTTCGGCAAAACATTTGCATGTTCATTATGTTGAATAGTTGACACACTTTTGAAAAACTAGATCCACTGAAGAACACAGCAGCAGACACCAGAAGGTTACTCCATGGCAATGAGTTGTGGCATGACTGGCTTTTCCATTCATACACATGTCCAAAAGGGCACACAGAAGTTGTACTTATCATTGTTCCTTTTGAATAATTTATTACTGTTTTACACATTCCATGGCATGTCTTGCAAACAGAAAGTACCCGGTGTAATGCAGACTCGGACACAAGAAATTGTTTTTCTGAAGCAACATCTGAATCACCTGACAACACATAGTTCATATCTGTTTCATAGTCATCATTACCGTCGTCGTCATCATCGTCTTCATCGCTGTCGAGATCTGGATTGTAATCCTGGTCATCACTCATTGCTGATTGGTCACTGTCATCGACATCCATGTCTACCTCTTCTTGGTCAAAAATGTTGTCGATCACATCCGATGTCCTCCATGATGTATCTTCTGTTATCAAACAACACTGGGTGCCTTTACTGACTTGTTCAGGTCTCAATTGGGGCCGCACTTGAATCCTTCTTGTTCTTTGAGAAGGCCTCATGTTGACTTGAGCACTTGTACTCTTAGTACTGACGTTAACGTTGGACGTACATGTTTCAACAGATGGGGATGAAGGTAGTGACTCCTCTCTGTTAAAGTTCAACACACACATGTCGTGATCTGCTTCATCTAATTCTTGATCCAGATCATCCAACTCCTGAACAAGAAACTTCTGGTCATATTCTTGAATGGCTGACTTCAATACCTGAAATACATTGTAGACAAATGTATAATGAAACCAACAAGACAGACATACTGTCTGATATTTTCACAACCTCATATATATACTGTACAGGTATTTATTATATAATCACTGTTGGAAATGGGGCCCATGACTAGAATCAGGGGGAAATGTGTAACAGTAAATTAAATCATACAGAGATTTTTTTCACAATTGTTATACCAAATATACTGTACCGATCCCCCAACCCTCAAAAGTATTATTTCTGAAAGACATGGATACTTTACATTATATACATGTTGGTATTGTTTATACAAATTTCTGGGAGTCAAATTTTGACCCCAAATCATTCCCCAGACAAGTTCTTATTTCCAAATCATACAAACTGTACACTAGTATGTCAACATGTCTAATTTAACATTTATTTATGATTGTTTGTGACTGGTCTATATAAATCATTTCATTCAGTCAGTGATATTCCCATTTGATTAATTCAGTATATGTGTGTTTTGTTTCCTAAAATCAATGCAAGTCACCAAAATCACACCCTAGGCCTTTAGAAAAATAAAATGTGGAAAAATGTATTCAGATTTTTCTGGTAAATATTTAAACTACTGTTTGGATCAGAGATGTTTATACGATTTACAAAATTCAAGTATTTTTTTGTTCTGTTTTTTTAACTGGTACTGTGTTTGGGTGTATAAGAATTATATTTATATGTCAATGAATGAATGATTATATAAATTACAAACATATGATTGTCAGGAACATCCATTCTATCTATTTTACTGGTGTTTGAAATTCTGACTGTAAATTGAGATATAATAACAGATTTAAAGTTGTTCTAGTTATGTCCATGCCATACGCATTTAATAATTGAAGAAGCGTAGAACTACTAGGGGCCGGAGATCTAGGGTGTGGGGGGGTTGAAACTTCTGAAGATGAACAAATGAAGACAGATGTCTTTTAAAACGTGGGTGTGTGAATTAGCTGTTATATTTATATAATTCTTGTTAAAAATTTAAATGGGTTAAGGTTAGCAACAAATCTGTGACTTACATCTGCTTTTTGGCGTTTGGCGTATGCACCTCTGGCTGTCTTTGGTGACGAAAACCTGTCTGTATAAGCTGTATTTTCTTTCTCCATCAGTGGAATGTCCGGCAATGCGTCATCTTTCAGCTTTGCCCTCCGTGAAAAGTTCAATCCCAAACTCTCGAATTTCGAACTGTGGTACTGGAACATGTCCATTGAAAAATGCACACTGCATAAGGTGTGATGATTTGTTGCTGTGAAGCTGGACCTTCGACAGTAATGTTCCCATGTCGATCTCTGCACGGGATTCTTCGGGAATTTGAAGAACGAAATTCCGCTTCCTTTCTTCAGTCTATTGGAACAACCGAAAGCCGCACAAAACACCATTTTACCAAATAAAAGTACACACCAACTTTCATTCAAAAAGTTACGTTGGCTTTCACAACAAGATTTCCTGTTTACGCTAACTCGGAGACTGTGATCAGCTGATACGATATGTAAACAAACAGTGTATTATGGCGGCGGCTTGATTTTTCGCGGACTATTATGACGTCACAAGGGAGTGGCCTCGTTCCGGGTCACGAAATATGCATAAATCAGAGGTCAACTCGTATGACCCAATAGTCGTGTCACTTCAATGTAACCAAACAACGCGTGCGGGATTGGGCGTTTTAATAAGGGTTTAAAACACAACTTTTTTATAATACAGAATTTTTATTTTTCGTTGCACAAATCCTTTAAGCAAGGAACAACAACTACCATTTTTAAGGACTTTGGTATGTCCCATCCTGGGGACACAACCCATTGCCTTAAGCTTCCTCACCTGGGCGAACGCTCAACATGCAAGCCAAATGTGAGGTGTTGCCAAACAAGGCCCTAGGAAATAGAAGGTAGATAGAAGTAGAAAGAAAGATAAAGATCCCAAACATTGCAATGGGCGCAGCAGATTTATTTTGGTCACTTTTGTGTCCCCAAATAAAGGACACCAAATCAAATCCCCAATTCTGCAGGGGGTTCCCACGTTAATTGCCTCCTACGATACATGCAGTGGGTGACAGCAGGTGTATTCTTTTCCTGATCCCCCACCTGCAGGGGTGGGTCATACAGGTACATTTACATTGTTCATTTGTGTAACATCTAGGTATTCAAATTGTAACACCTGAAAAAAGACGTTACGCCGCGACACCGTCAAAAGTCTCACACTTCAGAAAACCCAGTGGAGGGAGATCTTCCACAATGGACTCCTTAGAGGTTGGCAACCCTGATTCAAACACACTTTTTTAATAATAAAAACAATAGTTTTCTGTCTAGTGTTAGTTCAAACTCTGCTTACACGCATTTTAAATTTGTTCGAACACAATTTGAGTATTGAAATTACATAACTATTAATGAAGGTTGGCTATCAGCAATGCAATAATAGCCTCGTATAATGAACTTAAACTGATCTATTTTCGCATTAACAGTGTTGAATTACTAAATATTGGGTAGTACTCATGAAGTGTGACATCCATGTCGGACAATTTGTACATAAATACGCCACATGTTACCGATGATTGAGTTTCTTTCAGAATGTTACCGTCACGTCGCTGACAGACATGTGTGTATTGTCATAATATTACTGTGATTATGATTTGATTATATAATCGCAACCTGGCCACCGATCCCTGATTTATTACTTTATTGATATACATGTATAACCTTTACGTGTGCAAAAACAAACATTTTGACCAGGTGGTCGATCAAACTATTAATCTGTAATTGCAGTTTCAATCCACCCTCTGCATTCTGATACATTACAATTGAACTTCCAGCCTACATACTTGTCTCTGCTTTGCGATTGAACTTGATAATAAATTATTAATATGCAAGTAAAGATGAAAAAGATTTATACCATTATTCATTTCTAGATTAGCTAATATATCGTAATAGGCTGTCATTGTTCCATATCAGTAACTTGTATTTGCCGTGATTTTTGCCTATGTCGACTCAGATAGTTTGAACTAGCACTACTCTTTATTTTAGCAGCTATATTTTCGTGTAATTCAAATAGGTTTGACAAAAAATATATTTATCTATTTTTGTTTGATCTGACTAGAGGTCTACCGTAATGCTGTAATCCAACTTAATATGAAAACTACCAAACAAGACCTGTGTATTTTTGACACTTAATTGGTCACATACTTAATTATTCAATAATAAATGATATTTATACAACAGATTGACAACACATGTCAAATTCAGCAAAAACATCCCTTCATTTTAAATGAATTGTTTAAGTATCTTAAAATATTCGTCTGTGAATCGCTGTGTCAATATCACACGAAATGTGAAATCAGTATATAAACAAGAATAGGAACCCGGTCCGATAGAATCCGGAGTTGTAAACCTGCGAAAATGCGTACATTTGAGAACTACAATTATTTAAATTCATATAATTTACGTTGTGTACATTCTTTCTGGTAGAAATATTTGTTGTATTTATTTTCGTGGTTCCATAGCAACCATGAAAACAACAAAAGTGTATACACAACGAACATTTCATGTTATACAGTACAGTGGAACCCGCTTATTATGATATACTATTTGCCAGAAAAAAAAATCATAATAACCGATATATCATAATAACCGATCAAGCTGTTTTCTTTCGTTTTTATGTTGTCTGCTCCGGAAGCGAGATGCCCTATATTAATCAGACATAGATTGATGTGGAAACATGGAAAAATATAAATACAAACTGATAAAGTAATAATTGAAATAATTTGTTCACTGTAATTTATATCAGCGTTTTGGAAACAAGAGGCCCATGGGCCTTAACGGTCACCTGATATATTTATACAGAGAGTTGATTTTGATTTTAACATGAACAACAAGAGATCCCAGAGGGATCTTGGCGCCCACCTTTGTACCATCTTCATTAGTTCTTTGTCAGTTCGATCTTTTCTCTTCTTTCCTCTAATCTGTTTGATCGAGTCATGTTAACAGTAAATGCACCTTGAGGTAACTTTTGATCTAAACTTAATACTGATGTGTATGAAAGCCAACCTTCAAAGTGAGTTTGTCATTTCACATATTTACTAGTACAGTACTTAATGTGAAAGAAATAGAATCGATCATTGCAATATGAGAAAGATCTGTTTAGTTCTTCTTTTAATCCATTTTGTTTTTATGATCAGTCTCAAAATATAACATACACAACGAGGGATCAAGGGGAACCTACATTTAAAA